ATTTAAAAAAAAAAAAAAAAAAAAAAAAACAACAGAATGCAAAAATACCCATGCAACAAAGTAACATGAAATCATACCTCCCAGCTACCACTGAAAGCACATCTCTGGAGTCGAGTTAAAGCACCAGCCAGGGTCGGATTGCGAGAACTGGCGGCAGCAACCATTTTATCAGCATCCAACATCATAAGTGCAGTACCAGGTGGGGTTGCAGATTCCCATGCATATTCTGAAGCAGCATAATTTGCATTTTCACCAAGGAACCACACCTGCCATAGTATTTCTTTGGTATTAATGTATTGAAATCATCAAGAAATGCAAAGAATACTCTTCTGAGCAATTCTCACCGCTGCTTGCACCAATTTTTGCAGTGCCAGAGCTGACTTTGGATCTGATGCTGAGACCCTATCAATTGATGTCAGCCCTGACATGGACCCAGGCTGTGGTGGTGGTAGATCGAGCACTATTGTGACTGCTTCCAAAGCTGTGTGTTTGCCATCAGGACCAGCTCCAACAAGACATGTCTAGAAGTTGATTGACAATCAGTTACATCTCAAGTAACCTCTTGAAGAAAAAAGATTAAATAAAACATTGTACGGAACATAAACAGATAAAGCATTTGACTTTTATAAGCGTAGGCCCAGTTAAGTTTTCAAATGCCCCCAAATTACATTGTATCCCGAATAGGCATTAACAAACAGGTGATAAAAATCCAAGAAAAAAATTTCACACATCATATAACTAGAAGCTATATATCAACATTTTAGAACAGTAAAATTATGGTATAGAGGTCATAAAGAATTATATTCCTAGACTACAAATCGGTAACCAGAAAATACCTTCCACAGCAGCTGCAAAACGTCGGCATCGATTTTCCCTGGAACCTTGGTAGCAAATATTCTTGCAATTTCGAGCAGAGTAACAGCCATATCTGGTGTTGCCTAAGAAAGAAATGAAAGACGAGGAGTAGAAAAAGGTTACTTAAGGAGATGAACAACATTTTTCAGTCAAGTTTTTCAAATGAAAATTTGAATGTATTTAGTTTCTTAATCAACGCAGTTTATATAATGAAAATTGTCATAACTTCTAAGGTCCAGAGTTTTTCTCCCACATAACTTTTAAGAAATTAATGAAGGTTCCAAAACCAAACAAAGTTCTTTAAACAACCTATTCAGATTATTGTTCAAACAAAGCATGGCAACTCAAAGTCTCAAACTAAGGTTGGTTTTGCCAACTCAGTAAGGCTGGAACCCATTTTTTCTCATAGAAGAGACGTACAGTTTTATGGTTCAAAGAAAACGACAAGGGGCTTTCGCCCAGGAGTCATTGAGACGAACATATGTCAACTTGGATACTGAGACTGATTCTCGTGTTTTATTATAAACAAGCTAGAGCTGATCTCAATTGAGAAAGAATGCAAAACTACACTACGGGCACATTATGGATGTTCTACGAGTAAGCTTAAGGTTCAAAGTCCTTTTCTTTTCCTCCACTGTGACCAGGTCAAATATAACATGTTTAAAAGGAGAGACAACAATGCATACCTTAAAACGAGCGTGCAAAGTTAACAAAACATCATTGACAAGAGCTGCAGGCCAAGCTGGATCAGAAAGCTCGGAGGCAATGATTGATTTCAACTCATCCAATGATTCATGAGGGCTTTGCATCCATATCAATGCTTTAATCACCATCGCACGGACATAAACACACTCGCATGCTACAGTTGTTCGAACTACTTCCATCAGTGAAGCCAATAAACTCGCAATTGTATCATTACGGCCAGGCCCACCAGATATAGATGAAGTTCTCCGAATTCCTGCATGAATCCAGTAAACAAAATCATTTATGGAAGGTATACACATAATGAAAGAAGCGCAGAAAGTTAATGGATGAGATTAAAATGACTTGGTTGAGTACAATAAGAGATACTCTAACTCTTCAAGTAAAAATTTTAAATAATCTTTGTTTCCAAGTCTCCAGCATGCTTCTGATTACAATGAGAATAAAATCCAACAGAAAAATAACGGTTATTATTTGCAAACAAAACCGGTATACCAACAAAATGTTTCAGAAATAGCTAACAAACAGACAGATACCAGCATCCTAGTTTAATGATTTAAAAAGGTGCAATCAGATAGTGAAGTTAAACGGACCTTATACATAAAACAGAAAAAACTTTCATGAAAATTGGTTCTGATCGAGGAACTGGAAAGATGCTTAAACTTAGCATAAGGGGGGCCTCGGACATTACAGGAATTCCAGCTAAGCATTAGATTTAGCAACAAACTCAACAGTAAAAGGGATATACAATATGAACCTTCTGGGTGAGAATTGTCGATAGAGTCTGCATCATCTAGAGCATCAGAAAATGCATTAACATCAACTCCTTCATCAATGTCCTGTAAACCCAGAGCAAAAGCTGCAGCTCTGCTCTTTCCCATCTCTTGCACAACCCTTGCAGCTGCATGAAGCACTGGTCTAGAGAAACTACGAAATGAACTCTCTAACCTGATATAAGAACGAGCAGGAATAAGGGCCAATCGTTTAAGTTATTCAGAAAATTAAAGGGCCAATCGTTTAAGTTATTCAGAAAATTACCAACCAACATTCCAAAAAACAACCTACAAGATATGCTACTTTTGTTTCAACACGAAAATTTTTCCTTCTATTCTTGGGGGTTGGTAGTGGAGAGGAATAATTGATGGAAGGGATCATCACCGGAAATGAATATTACCTTCTCATTACAAGCTTGATAAGAGGTTGTGGACGCTTAGTCTTCTGAGATTTATCCTTGGACAAAGATGGGGCTTCTGGCAACTTCAGAATCTCTCTAGTCAAGCGATACCACCCAGCAGCACGCTCTTC